CTGGGGTATTACTGAACCCCCTTTACCCTGACCCTACACTCAGGCTCCACACGGGGGCGCACTCAGCTGTTTGGAGCGCTTTGTTTTGGTTATTAGCTTTAGCCTGTTAGCTCCTCTTTAGCTCCTCTTTAGCCCCGCTCCGGTAGCGCAGGTTTTACCGGGTTCTGCTCCGGTTCGGGTCCGTCCTGCTGGCTCCAGTCCCGGGCTCCGTCTGCGCGTTGTGCCCCCATTTCCTCCGCGTGAAACGGACAGAAACAGCGACGAGAAACCGGAAAAAACCCGGGGAGAGAAACGAGTCTACACCGGGGACAGAGACGAGTCTACACCGGGAGAGGCGCAGCGGACAGCGGCTGGAGCTCCGACCCACAGCGGGAATAGCGTTCTGGGTTCTGGGTTCTGGGTTCTGGGTCTGGGTCTGGTTCTGGGTTCTGGGTTCTGGGTCTGGTTCTGGACTGAAGTGTGAGCTCGAACGGTTCCAGGAAATGAGCTCCACTTCCGGCCCTGCGGAACAACACGGGCTCGTGCCGCGCCTAGTTTCCGGTTTCACAATAAGAGCGTTTGTTTATTTAACAGAATAAAACAAAAATAAAAACTAAAACCTGATCACACACACCACACACACAGAGGGCACCTGACACACACACAGAGGGCACCTGACACACACAGAGGGCACCTGAGGGCACTGACACACACACAGAGGGCACCTGACACACACACACTGACACACACACAGAGACACACACACACAAGGCACCACACACACACCTGACACACAGAGGCACCACACACACAGAGGGCACCTGACACACACACAGAGGGCACCTGACACACACACAGAGGGCACCTGACACACACAGAGGGCACCTGACACACACACAGAGGGCACCTGACACACACAGAGGGCACCTGACACACACACAGAGGGCACCTGACACACACACAGAGACACACACACACACAAAGAGCACCTGACACACACACAGAGGGCACCTGACACACACGGGGAGGGCACCTGACACATGAATTCACACAGAAATAGTTTTAGTTTTTTTAATGAAAAAGTTACAAAAAGTATTTACATAAGTGTTTGAGTCGTGGTCTGCAGGTTGTGGTGGTAGCAGTAAAAGTACTCGTGGTACTTGTAGTAGTCGCAGTAGTACTCATAGTACTTGTAGTAGTCGCAGTAGTCGCAGTAGTGTGTCAGAGTCCGAGCAGAGTACGCGCCTCTTGGCTCTGGTGCTGTAAAGTCTCACTGGCGTATCTCTGTAACAGCTCCATCTTCTTCCTCCGGATCAGAGCCTCCTCCACCTGCAAACACAACCGGGTTTAGAACCAGACCCCAGACCCAGACCAGACCCAGACCCAGACCAGACCAGACCCAGACCCAGACCCAGACCAGACCCAGACCAGACCAGACCAGACCCAGACCAGACCCAGACCAGACCCAGACCCAGACCCAGACCCAGACCAGACCAGACCAGACCCAGACCAGACCCAGACCCAGACCCCAGACCCAGACCAGACCAGACCAGACAGACCAGACCAGACCCAGACCAGACCCAGACCCAGACCCAGACCCAGACCCAGACCCAGAGACCAGACCCAGAGACCAGACCCCCAGACCAGACCCAGACCCAGACCCAGACCCAGACCAGACCAGACCCAGACCAGACCAGACCAGACCCCCAGACCAGACCCAGACCAGACCCAGACCAGACAGACCAGACCAGACCCAGACCAGACCCAGACCAGACCCAGACCCAGACCCAGACCCAGACCCAGACCAGACCCAGACCCAGACCAGACCAGACCAGACCAGACCCAGACCCAGACCCGACCCAGACCCAGACCCAGACCCAGACCCAGACCCAGACCCAGACCCAGACCCAGACCAGACCCAGACCAGACCCAGACCCAGACCCAGACCCAGACCCAGACCCGACCCAGACCCAGACCAGACCAGACCCAGACCAGACCCAGACCAGACCCAGATCAGAGCCTCCTCCTCTTCACAACACTGAGAATGAACCAGAACCAAATGAAACCAAACCCAACTGTTTTCACCCAGATAAATATTAGTAGTAGTAGATGCAGTAGTAGTAGTAGTAGTAGTAGTATTTGTAAGAGTAGTTTTAGTAGTAGGTGTAGTAGTACTGTAGTAGTAGTAGTATTGTAGTAGTAGTAGTATTTGTAGTAGTAGTAGTACAGTAGTAGTAGAAGTAGTATTTGTAGTACTGTAGTATTTGTATTACTGTAGTATTTGTAGTACTGTAGTAGTAAATAGTAGTAGTAGTAGTAGTAGTAGTAGTAGTAGTAGTAGTACTGCAGTAGTATTTGTAGTATTTGTAGTACTGTAATATTTGTAGTATTTGTACTGTAGTAGTAGTAGTAGTAGTAGTAGTAGTAGTAGTAGTAGTAGTACTGTAGTAGTAGTAGTAGTAGTACTGTAGTAGTAGCAGTACCATAGTAGTATTTGTAGTACTGTAGTAGTAGTACTGTAGTAGTAGCAGTACTGTAATAGTATTTTTAGTATTGTTAGTACTGCAGTAGTAGTACTGTAGTAGTATTTGTAGTATTTATAGTACTGTAGTAGTAGCAGTACTGTAGTAGTAGTAGTATTTGTAGTATTAGTAGTACTGTAGTAGTAGTAGTACTGTAGTAGTAGTAGTACTGTAGTAGTAGTAGTACTGTAGTAGTATTTGTAGTAGTATTTGTAGTATTTGTAGTACTGTAGTAGTAGTAGTAGTACTGTAGTAGTAGTAGTACTGTAGTAGTATTTGTGGTATTTGTAGTGTTTGTAGTAGTAGTAGTAGTATTTGTAGTAATAGTAGTATCTGTAGTATTTGTAGTATCTATAGTATTTGTAGTATCTGTAGTATTTGTAGTATTTGTAGTACTGTAGTAGTATTTGTAGTATTTGTAGTAGTAGTAGTATCTGAAGTATTTGTAGTATCTGTAGTAGTATTTGTAGTAGGAGTATTTGTAGTATTTGTAGTGTTTGTAGTAGTAGTATTTGTAGTATTTGTAGTGTTTGTAGTAGTAGTGTTTGTAGTGTTTGTAGTGTTTGTAGTAGTATTTGTAGTATTTGTAGTAGTAGTATTTGTAGTATTTGTAGTGTTTGTAGTAGTAGTATTTGTAGTATTGTAGTAGTTTTAGTAGTAGTTTTAGTAGTAGTAGTAGTAGTATTTATAGTTTGTAGTAGTAGTATTGTATTTGTAGTGTTTGTAGTAGTAGTATTTGTAGTGTTTGTAGTAGTAGTGTTTGTAGTAGTAGTAGTATTTGTAGTATTTGTAGTAGTAGTATTTGTAGTATTTGTAGTGTTTGTAGTAGTAGTGTTTGTAGTAGTTTGTAGTAGTAGTATTTGTAGTATTTGTAGTAGTAGTATTTGTAGTATTTGTAGTGTTTGTAGTAGTAGTGTTTGTAGTTTGTAGTAGTAGTATTTGTAGTATTTGTAGTAGTAGTATTTTTAGTATTTGTATGTTTGTAGTGTTTGTAGTGTTTTAAGTATTTGTAGTAGTAGTTTGTAGTAGTATTTGTAGTATTTGTAGTGTTTGTAGTGTTTGTAGTAGTAGTATTTGTAGTGTTTGTAGTAGTAGTGTTTGTAGTATTTGTAGTGTTTGTAGTAGTAGTATTTGTAGTGTTTGTAGTAGTAGTATTTGTAGTATTTGTAGTAGTAGTATTTGTAGTATTTGTAGTAGTAGTATTTGTAGTATTTGTAGTGTTTGTAGTAGTAGTGTTTGTAGTGTTTGTAGTAGTAGTATTTGTAGTATTTGTAGTAGTAGTATTTGTAGTATTTGTAGTGTTTGTAGATGTAGTGTTTGTAGTGTTTGTAGTAGTAGTGTTTGTAGTAGTAGTATTTGTAGTATTTGTAGTGTTTGTAGTGTTTGTAGTAGTAGTATTTGTAGTGTTTGTAGTAGTAGTGTTTGTAGTAGTTTGTAGTTGTAGTTTGTGTATTTGTAGTGTTTTGTAGTAGTAGTAGTATTGTAGTATTTGTTAGTGTAGTGTATTTGTAGTATTTGTAGTGTTTGTAGTAGTAGTATTTGTAGTATTTGTAGTGTTTGTAGTAGTAGTATTTGTAGTATTTGTAGTGTTTGTAGTATTTGTAGTATTTGTAGTATTTGTAGTACCTCTTTCTGGGAGGGCACTGGGACGTGGGCGGTGAACACGGCTCCTTCTTCTCCTTCGTCGTCTTCAGCAGCTTCATCTTAAAACACAAACACACAAAACACACACACACAATAAAAACAACACAACACACACAATAACACACACAACACACACACACACAATAAAACAACACAACACACACACATAAACACAACACAACACAAAAAACACACAACACACAACACACAAAACACACAACACACAATAAACACACAACAACACACAATAAACACACAACACACAATAAACAACACACACAATAAACACAAAACACACAATACACACACACACAACACACAATAAACACACAACACACAATAAACACACAACACACAATAAACACACACACAACACACACACAACACACAATAACACACACAAAACACAATAAACACACACACACAATACACACACACAACACACACAATAAACACACAACACACAATAAACACACAATAACAACACACACACAACACAACACACAACACACAAACACACACAAACACACAATACACACACAACACACAATACACAACACACAATCACACACACACAAACACACAACACACACACACACAACACACAATAAAACACACAACACACAAACACACACAACACACAATACACACACACAACACACACAACACAACACACACACACACACACAACACACAATAACACACAAACACACAACACACACAATAACACACACAAACACACAAATACAACACACAACACACAACACACAACACACAACACAACACACACACACACACACAACACACACAATAAACACACAACACACACACAACACACACAACACACAACACACAACACACACAAACACACAATACACACAACAACACACACACACACAACACACAATATACACACAACACACAACACACAATACAACACACAATAAACACACAACACACACACAACACACAATACACACACAACACACAATAAACACACAACACACACACAACACACAATATACACACAACACACATAACACACAACACACAATAAACACACAACACACAATAAACACACAACACACAATAAACACACAACACACAATAAACACACAAACACACACAACACACACACAACACACAATAAACTCACAACACATAATAAACACACAAACACACACACAACACACACACATATATATATATATATATATATATATATATATATATATATATATATATATATATATATATATATATATATATATATATATATATATATATATATATATATATAGTATATATAGTAGTATATACAGAGTATATATAGAGTAGAGCCCGACCGATATATCGGTTGGCTGATATTATTGGCTGATATGGGCACCTGGAGACATATCGGCTATCGGCCAATATGTTTGCTGATATGGGCCGATATTTCACGTGGGCATGTTACACGTCGTTATAAAGCTTAGACTCTCTATATTCTGTTCATTTAATCCAATTTACAGACAGATAAATGTCCATACTGTCCCTGAACACACCACAGAGTCACGTCACTTCACTCACGTGTGTTTGTTTACACCTGCAGCCGTGCAACACTGACATTATTTTCTTTTTACGGACAATCGGTTTGAGTCTGGATTAAAAGGACTTTTATTAGTTCAGACTTGTGATGTGGGAGGAGCCTGTGTGAGGCTGAGTGTTGAAATACATCGACTTTGAAGCTAGTTTTGGTTATTTGTTATTAGCGATTATCTGCTGTAGCTCCTGCACATAAACAGTCTGTTTTCTATTGGGCTGTTGTAAAGTGATTATATTGTTCGTATATTTGTTACTGGAGCTGCATTGATGTAAATGAGCTGTGAATAGACGTGTGAATGATCCACATTTACACATATAATTAATTACCGCAGTGCGCACGTTTTTACAGCTAAAGGCTAATAGCGCTAGTTTCTTTACTCTCTAGGAGTTATGGGTCGGTCGCAATCGAAGCGGCTCTTAGATCCGGCTCTTTGAAGTGAACAACAGGAGCATGTTTCTTATTGGGAGCCGTGTTTTCTCTTTTTCTCTTCAAGCCACTTGTAGACCTGTAGTTTGACAGCAGCAGCGGCTGAAAACGAAACTTTCAGAAATCTGCGAGTGCATAGGATAAAAAAAAAAAAGTGCATATTTGGCTGCAGTTCAGCATAAAATGAATAAACCAGGACTAAACTTGGGCTGGAGTGAAGGAGAAACCGAGTCCCGACACTCAGTCCTGGTTCAGTTCTGGTTTAGTCCTGTTTTACACGTGGTTTAAATCTGTTTTAGTCCTGGTTTAGTCCTTTTTCAGTCCTGGTTCAGTTTTGGTTGAGTCCTGCTTGCAACAAAACAATCTCAAGAGTCGCTTGGGAGCCGAAAGAGCCAGCTGCTTTAGTGAGCCGAGCCAAAAGCTGGTTCTCCAAAAAAAAGAAACTGGAATCCCCATCACTAGTAGCTAGTGCAACCTTTAACACGTCATGTCCTGCCTTCTGTCCGGCCCTTCAGTCTAATTTTAGGACCCTATGTGGCCCGCGAGCCAAAAAGTTTGCCCACCCCTGAGCTAGAATGTGATGCAAAAATGCTATTAAGTCAACCTACTGTCTGTAAATATGATGTAAAGAGGCAGAATAACAATAAATGTTGCCTAAATAAACCCAATTTAAAATCCACCAGAGCCAAACCTAAGTTTTTTAAACAATTCAACATTTACAGTGAATTTTTACATCACTAAATATATCTGTGATTATATCGGATATCGGCAGCTCCAACTCCCATTATATCAGTTTCATATCGGCCACAGCAAAATCCATATCGGTCAGGCTCTAATAAATACTACTATATATACTCTTTATATACTGTATATATACTACTATATATACTCTATATATACTACTATATATACTCTATATTAGAGCCCGACCGATATGGATTTTGTTGTGGCCGATATGAAACTGATATAATGGGAGTTGGAGCTGCCGATATCCGATATAATCACAGATATATTTAGTGATGTAAAAATTCACTGTAAATGTTGAATTGTTTAAAAAACTTAGGTTTGGCTCTGGTGGATTTTAAATTGGGTTTATTTAGGCAACATTTATTGTTATTCTGCCTCTTTACATCATATTTACAGACAGTAGATTGGCCTAATGGCATTTTTGCATCACATTCTAGCTCAGGGGTGGGCAAACGTTTTGGCTCGCGGGCCACATAGGGTCCTAAAATTAGACTGAAGGGCCGGACAGAAGGCAGGACATGACGTGTTAAAGGTTGTATGGAGGATTTTTTTTTGTTTCAAATTGTCAGTGATAGATTATAGATGCAGTAGCCTTGTAATTATGATGACCAAAAAAAAGAGAATAAAAATTCATCAACTCTGGACGTGGTGGGGCTAAACATTTGCCAATAGATAACGACACTGTCTCGTTATCTGTGAGCTGACAGGCTGTCAATCAAACTCCCTACGTTTCTAGTGTAACTGACTTGCCTGCGCCGCCGTTACGTGGTTTACATACGCCTGTCACGCAGTCCACAGACGCAAGACGCACAGACGCTGTTTACTCCACCAACGCAACAGTTCTTAGCGGCTTTTTTTACCTATATCTTCCTCGCAGTTCGCACAAAGTTTGTTTCAATGACAGACAAGAATCCAGGAGCAGTTCGCCGCAAAAGAAAGTCCGTTTTTGAGGTGAAAGAAGAAGACAAGGGGAAAAGCAGCGAAGCCAAACTAAGGTGATTCTTATAGATTCATTCCAGCGATGGCGCAACTGAAGCAGACGAAGGGTCTAAAGACTGAACCACTGGTCCACAAATTACTCCTGGACAGGAAACTTCTGCTTATTATGAAAAGATACTTTATTTCCAAGAGCTAGTCAAACCTTTTTCAGGACACGAAAGCGATATCCTGTGTCTGAAAACGTGATTTTCAAGGCAAAGAAAGAGTCACTTGCTGCTGCGTGTTGTAGTTAGTTCATTCGCACTGAATCTCCGTGCACCCTTCTCTGCACCCCTTTCCTGCTCCTCCCCCCACTCCTCACTTCTCCGGGCACGGAATCTCCGCGCACCGCTCCCCTCTCCTCTCCCCTCTCCTCTCCTCTCCACTCTTCTCCCTGCTCCTCACTTCTCGTCCGCGCACAAAATGTCCACGCCCCCTCTCCCCTCGCTCCTCACTTCTCAGTCTTGCTAACCAACACTGTAGTTAGTTGTTTACAAGTCATGTGCAGCACCGGCTGTAAACAAACCTGTTTGTGGCGTAAGGAGGAGGCGGGAGGAGGCGTTTCTACGTAGGAGCTGTAGGGAGGGGGGGTGTTCACGCATGCGCAACATTTGAAAAAGGACAAACAGTCGCTGGATTTCTCGTTCCTTGGAAAATCCTCTATACAACCTTTAATCCAGACTCAAACCGATTGTCCGTAAAAAGAATATAATCTCAGTGTTTGGATCGTGTCTGCAGGTGTAAACAACACACGTTGAGTGATCGTGACTCTGTGGTGTGTTCAGGGACGCGACTCTGTGGTGTGTTCAGGGACAGTACGTGACTCTGTGGTGTGTTCAGGGACAGTACGGACACACACACACAAATGACTCCGTAGATAAATACTGATGTGGAGCCACATATTAGGACATTTATCTGTCTGTAAATTGGATTAAATGAACAGAATTAGAGAGTCTAAGCTTTATAACGAGGTGTAACATGCCCACGGGAAATATCTGCCCCTATCAGCAAGCATATCGGCCAATAGCCGATATGCCTAAAGTTGCCCATATCAGCCGATAATATCGGCCAACCGATATATCAGTCGGGCTCTAGTATTTATAGTAGTACTTTTACCTGATGGTCTGTGACTTTGTAAATGTCTTCTTCTTCTTCAGTTCTGTTTTGATCTTTCTCAGACCTCCACTTCTCCACCGCCTCTGGAGGACTACAAGAGTACTACAGTTACTACAACAACTACTACTACTACTACTACAAGAGTACTACAGTTACTACAATACTATACTACTACTACTACAAGAGTACTACAGTTACTACAACAAATACTACTACTACTACTACAAGAGTACTACAGTTACTACAACAAATACTATACTACTACTACAGAGTACTACAGTTACTACAACAAATACTACTACTACTACTACAAGAGTACTACAGTTACTACAACAAATACTACTACTACTACTACAAGAGTACTACAGTTACTACAACAAATACTACTACTACTACTACTACAAGAGTACTACAGTTACTACAATACTACTCTACTACTACTACTACTACTACAAGAGTACTACAGTTACTACAACAAATACTACTACTACTACTACTAGTACTGCAAGAGTACTACAGTTACTACAATACTACTACTACTACTACAAAGTACATACACATACAACTACTACTACTACAAGAGTACTACAGTACAACTACTACTACAAGACTACTACACTACTACATACTACTACTACTACTACTACTACTACTAAGAGGTACTACTACTACTACTACTACTACACAGTTACTACTACTACTACTACTACTACAAGAGTACTACAGTTACTACAATACTACTACTACTACTACAGTTACTACAACAAATACTACTACTACTACTACTACAAGAGTACTACAGTTACTACAAAAATACTACTACTACTACTACTACAACAAATACTACTACTACTACTACAAGAGTACTACAGTTACTACAACAAACTACTACTACTACAAGAGTACTACAGTTACTACAACAAATACTACTACTACTACTACTACTACAAAAGTAACTACTACCAAATATACTACTACTACTACTACAAGTTACTAGCTACTACTAGTAATACAACTACTACTTACTACTGTTACTACTACTACTACTACTACTACTACTACTACAAGAGTACTACAGTTACTACAACAAATACTACTACTACTACTACTACTGCAAGAGTACTACAGTTACTACAATACTACTACTACTACTACTACTCACTACAACAAATACTACTACTACTACTACAGTTACTACAACAAATACTACTACTACTACTACTACAGTTACTACTACAGGTACTACAGTTACTACAATATACTGACTACTACATACTTACTACTACTATACTACTACTACTACTATCAAGTACAGTACTACAGTTACTACAACAAGACTACTACTACAAGAGTACTACAGTTATCTACAACAAATACTACTACTACAAGAGTATACAGTACTACTACTACTACTACTAACTACTACTAACACTACTACACTTTACTACTACTACTACTACAACTACTACAACTACTATTACACTACTACAAGAGTATTAACTAGTTACTACACAAATACTACTCTACTCTGCAAAACTGCAAGAGTACTACAGTTACTACAACAAATACTACTACTACTGCAAGAGTATTACAGTTACTACAACAAATACTACTACTACTACTGCTGCAAGAGTACTACAGTTAGTTACTACAAATACTACAGTCAGTGGTTATAGGATATAAGGTGAGGGTTAAGGGGATAAGGTGAGGGTTTAGGGTTTAGGGTATAAGGTGAGGGTTTAGGGTTAAGGGTATAAGGTGAGGGTTTAGGGTATAAGGTGAGAGTTTAGGGTTTAGGGTATAAGG